ACCTAAATCTATGTCTTGTAGCTTATTTCCAACCTGCGATGGACATATTCGGTTCTCTACTTTTCCCTCTCTCCCTATTATCAAGTGTAGTGGGATCTCTCATAAGGGTTCCTGTGTCATATGAGAAGGTCACGAAAGATGCCGATGTGTATGTCTTAGTTGGAAAAGTAACACTTGGTAGCCAAGATGTCTATGGCCTTATTGACACCGGTTCTTCCACGACGTTCTTCCTCTGGAAGCATTGGTATGAGAAGGGTCATCCAGGGAGGTGCAAGGACATCATCTTCGGTTGTTATGAATGCAGCCCTGAAGTTTGCAGTGAGGGAAAACTTTATACACTACGTTTCGGACATGGAGCCGAAGTGAGGATCTTCAAGGAATCTGCAACGGCCCATTTCGGCCAAGCTGCCAGTGCCACTATTACATTCGGTCTGGTTGCTGAATACACGTATGGTCCCAATGTGCCAGTCCCACATGCTGGTTTCGGATTGTTACCGAAACATGATCCAGAATCACCATATGTATCGATAATAGAACAACTTCTCTCACAGAAGCTTATCGAGAGTGATATCTTCTCGATCTACCTCAGGCATGATGGAACTAACAAGGGTACGAAGCGGGCGCTTCGTGAGGAACTTTTTGGGGTGCCAGTGATTGCAACGCGGAAGGCGCGTCTCAGGAAGTTGACGAAAGTGCGCCCTAACAAATCGATTATCAAGGCGCGCGCTAATGTGCGTGCAAGCGCGCCTCGTGAAATGGACATTCCAGTCGTTTGAAGTGAAGGCGGCGTGTGAGAAGCATCAGAGTGAAAGAATTCGAAAATGCGCACCTACTTCAGCAACATTGTGAAAAAAAACGGAGCGTAGCGGCTATAGGCTTGAAGCCTATCGTGCGAACGCCTAACGACGCCCGCCGAAAATCCCGAGGAAACCAATCTTGACCGATTTCTCCTCGGTATGGGAGTGAATAAGGCTGAAAGCGCGGGAATATACGTATTCGAGTATGGGGAGTCCGAATCTGTGACTGAAATCAACTCAAGAGATTCGGATGATATCAAACACGCAAAACCTGTCAGACAGGGTAATTCCTATAACTTTTTATTCCAAAA